ATCGGTCACAGGGCTTTCTCTTACCTAACCTCTCCCAGGGAGAGTTTCTTCATCGCCACCAAGATACCTGCTTTGTGGATAGTAATAAGTATTAAAGGAGAAAGGGATTAAATGGCGCGAAGTAACTATATATGGGAGTATACGCATTGACGTGCCTATTTCTGTTGCAAAGTATATGTTTCTTCTACAAAGGAAATTACTCATATGTCTTGGTTACCCTTAGACAAATCCCATGTCCTGGCTTTCCCACATCTTTTCCTTTGGCCCCAGCCTGGTATCTATTCTTCCCATGGGAAGTATCTTGGCCCAAAAAAGCCCCCAAAGCGGGCTGAACCAAAGGCCAGGAGCAGCTGAAGACAATGACAGGTAGGTGTTACTATTCCAGCTTATAGTTGGGGAAACTGAGCCACAAAGAGGTTGTGCATCTTGCTGAAAGTCACAGACACTATTCTAGGCACTGCAGCAAGGACTTTTTTTTTGTCTGAAACTTAATGGAGAAGAAGGCCATTTAAAATGCCATCTCTTTTTCCTTTTTATTTATTTTTATTTTTATTTATTTATTTTTTTGGTTTTTCGAGACAGGGTTTCTCTGTGGCTTTGGAGGCTGTCCTGGAACTCACTTTGTAGACCAGGCTGGCCTCGAACTCACAGAGATCCGCCTGCCTCTGTCCCCCGAGTGCTGGGATTGAAGGCGTGCGCCACCAACGTCTGGCTTCTTTTTATTTTTTTGGAATATTTTACTTAATTTTTTTAAATGTACATTGGCGTGAGGGCATCAGATCACCTAGAACTAGAGTTACAGATAGTTACAAACTGCCATGTGGAGACTGGGAATTGAACCTGGGCCCTCTGGAAGATCAGCCAGTTATTTTAACCCCTGAACCATCTTTCTAGCGCCTTCTTTGTTTTTTAACATAGCACTCAGTTCTGGAAGCATACTTGTATTTTTAAAAAATTGTATTTTGGTTTTTCAAGACAGGGTTTCTCTGTATTGTTTTAGAGCCTGTCCTGGAACTTTTTCTGTAGACCAGGCTGGCTTCGAATTCACAGAGATCTGCCTGCCTCTGCTTCCCGGGTGCTGGGATTAAAGGTGTGTGCCACCAACGCCCAACAGTATTTGAATTCTTGTGTGGTCCAGGCAGATGACTGGATATAAAATTAAGAAACAAACAAGGCATGGCTATTCATATCCTAACTTTGTTGGAATTCCAACTAAAAAGGATCTTTTTTTTTTTTCCCGGACATCCCCTACTGCAATGTTACAAATTGCAGAGCAGATTACATTATGATAGTCTGGAAGGAGATGTGTCCACTTTAAATTGTTTTTACTATTTGCTTGTGTATATGTTTATGTTTGTATATGTGTATATTTGTGTATGTATATCTTTGTGTGTGTGTTTGTATATGTATGTGTGCATGTTTGTGTGCGTTTGTGTGTGTGCCTGTGTGTGTGTTTGTATGTGTGTGTGTGCCTGTGTGTGTGTGTGTGTATGTGTGTGTGTGTGTGTGTGTGTATGCCTGCCACAGCACTTGTGTGGGGTCACAGGAGAAAACCTGAGTCCGTTGCTTCTCTTCCTCACCAGGTAGACTTTAAGGACTGAACTCAGGTCACACTTGGTTGCAGTGTCTTTTCCTATTGAGCCATCTCACCAGCACAATTACCTTCTTTTAATAAAGCACGTGGTCAGATACTACGGGAGATAAGACTGAGTTCAGTGACACTGTGTCCCTTCCATGAACAGGCGGGGCGTCTGAGTCCTATCTCCCAGGTGACCTCTCTGAGCTGCCTTGCTGGTGTCACAGTTCTGTGTCAAGTTCCTTCCTTGATCCATTTCTTTTGGCAAATCTTTGCAGAGCAGCAACCCTGTGGAAGAAACGGTGCTGAGCCTGGGAGCCACAGAGACAACTGCGCCATGCTCCAGCCTTAAGATGCTCATAGTCTGGAGGCGGAAATGGAGAAGTAAACAGATGATTACATACTCCCTGGCTGAAGAAAGGACAGAACAAGGGCACTTCAGCCTTGCTTCCCAAAGATCAGCCTCCTGCGTCTCCGCTGGGAGCTGGAGCCAGCATACTTGTTTAGAGATGGAGTGATTGCCAGGAGCTATCTACCAAGCAAGCCAAGCCCAGAGCCTCCCTCCTTTGCTCTTTTCCCCCTTTACCGTGTCTCCCTCTCGCCTCTCTCTGTTCTTTGGACTTCTTTTCTTTTTTATCTGCTGCTTCCCTACAGTCCTCCACAGGGTCTTCCCCAAGCACTCCCTCCAAGCCACATACATGCCTCAGGAAACCCTGGCCCAGATTTGAGAAACAGTTATTGTCTTATGACGTTGGTATTTCCTGTTCTCTGCCACTTCAGTAGTGACGTGGTCATATCTCAGGATTTTTCCCTCTTCAAGTGCACTTGTCTGAGGAGGATGCTGAGATCAGGGACATCCAGAGAAATCAGAGTAAGTGCAGTGCCAGAGGCTAGGGAAAGCAGGCCTGTGGCAAGGGAGTGCTGTCTGGAGGAGCTCCACATAGGTGCCCATAACCTCCTCAGGTCAACAGATGTCGTGCAAACACTGCCTGGTTCCACGAACAACTCTAGGAAGCAAGACTCTCCAAGAGATTTTGCTCAAAAGAGCTTTCTTGCTTCTTTCCCAGTAACTCCATTATCCTCTCCCACCCCTCCCTAAGAGCCTTAAAGTCTATCATTTTCAGAATTGAGTTACTTCTGTGCCTGGGAGTGATGTTATTTTATGCTCTTAATGTGTTGGGAGGCAGCAAAGCCAGATGGCTGTCTCCCGTTCTGACTCTGCTCTTTGGCTCAGAGCAAGATCTTTATTCACCTTTGCTACCTTGCTGCCCCTTGTTTTCTCCATCTGCCCCCTCACAAAGCTGCTCCTCAGCCATTTTTTGGGTTCTCCCCTGGGCAAAGCTCTCTGAGGTCTACTGTCAAGATGGGACAAACAGGAGAAAGATATGCTCAGTGCTTTGGGGGCGCTTGTAATCCATGGAGGGAACACATGTACATGGATGGGGCTTTGTGCCACTTAGAAAGAGATGCAGTTCTTTTAAAAACCATTCCTTGGGTCTGGAGAGATGGCTCAGTGGTTAACAGCTCTTGTAGGGAACTAGGGTTCAATACTTAGCACCCCACCTCATGGATCACAACTGTCTGTAACTCCAGTTACAGGGGTTCTAATGCCCTCTTCTGGCCTCTGTGTGCACTGCATGTATGTAGTACATAAACACACCTGCAGGCCAAAAACTCATACACATAAACAATTCTTCAAAAAAGTTTTTTTTTAAGTTCTAAAAAGCCATGCCTCCTACATGGGATAGCTTCCCTTGAGCTCAGAGGAGTCCAAGTTGATCCTTTGAGGAATGGGGAGGCTTGGGAGATAAGGGCAGATTTTTGTTGTGAAGAAAGACACCTTCTGTCTCAAAATTTTCAATCAGCAGAAACCATATTGTGGGGGCAGAGTTGGGCCTGGCACTACGCCTGGCCTTAGGAACAGCATTATACATAGTGTAATGATATCAGCAGGGCGATAGTGGTGTCTAAAGGATTCCTCTGCACAATTACTGCCTCTTCTTCAAGCAAGTGACCAAGAGCTTGCCAAGAGCAGCAACAGCACATGCAGCCCTCTACAGATCCCATTACCAATTGGCTACTCTAGGATAGAAACTTCAGGGACTCTGTGGGTGAGGAAAAGAGTTTGTGGTACACAGGGTGAATGGCGGATCTGGAGGCAGTATTTTTAAATAGACTGTCATGGTGCTTTGCATATAGTATTTGAACCGAATTATAAACAGGGAACATTTAGCATTGACATTTCACCTTTTCAGTCAGATCTAGTATAGTTTACAAAGTTATTCTAGGCAAAATGCTTAATTGAAGCCTCTGTAACTAAGACCAAAACACAGACTGGAAAACTCTCTTACTGTTCAAGCAGAGAACCAGTCAGTTCCCTTTGGGCATGCTCAGGAAAAGCCAAAGAAAGAATGCATTTCACCTAAGCCTTGAAAGGCAAACTATTCACACAGCACGTATAGTGGGATGTGGGGAGGTCTTTAGGAAAGGATGGGACTGTGGAAGGGCTGAAATAGCAGGATTCAGGCTCTAGAAGCAGAGTGAGAAGGCCGGGGAGCTTGGCTATGGATCCTCAGGTCCAACATAAGGAACAGAAGGCTGCTAGTGGTTGCATATTGGGAGGAGAGGAGCTAAGGAGAAGCTCAGCCAGAGATCCCACCATTGGGAGGAGTCTCTGAGCGTCTTCACTGTTTCCTCCACCCACTCAAGGGGGTGTTTTTGGGATAAGGACCTGTACAGGGCGATCATCAGAGAGTCTATTACAAATAGAAGTTTGCAAGAAGTTGTGCATGGAACCTGTCAGAACCCAACAGCAGTTCTGTATTTTACCTTCTTCCAGTGGCTTGGTCTTCCCCAGGCTCATCTGCCCCAATGCAAGACTACAACTTTAGAAAAGAATTATTTTGAGGGTCATTTCTCTTTTATTAAAGTACGCTTGGTCATCATACAAACAACACACACAGAAACTACAATCCCCTACTCAGAATAAATTATGAAATTGTTATTGAACAGTAGATGGCAGAAAATGCTGTCCTGCCAGCAGGGCCTCCATGGCTAAGCGCCTGGAGGTTCACAAGGTGTCAGCAGACCCTGAGAGACTGTGGTAAATCTGTGAGATGTTTGGTGTCAAATGCCCCCTCTGAAACCCAAACTAACTCCTTCACAAAACCTACATGCAGTGTAGATGCAGTATGGCAGCACAGACAGGAGATGACCCGTTAAGCAACGCTCAAAGTCAGCTCACTTGCCTTCCCTGCAGCTTTAGTGGCAGGTGGGTTTCTGGAGCTCACTCTTTTTTTCCCCCTCAATATATGTTTTTATTTAAATTAGAAACATGAATGCTTCACATGTCAATACCAGCTCCTTCTCCCACCCCTCCTCCCTTGTCCCTCCACCAGTCCCTCTCCAGTCCCCCACCCAATCCCCATATCATTCCCCAGGGAGGGTGAGGCCCTCCTTGCAGCGATTGGGGCTCATTCTTTACCAACTCCATGGCTCCCCTGGAACTGCAGGTGTGCCCCAGCAGTGGGAAGAGGGGAGTGAAGACCTTGGTTTGTCCTCTGGGACTGTAGGGTGAGCAGATCTTCGAAGCTCACTCTGCCTTTGTTTAGCTTTCTCCTAGGTCTTGTCTGCTACTTCTAGAAGAATGGACAGTGATTCATCCCCGGGAAACCCATCAACCTGGAGTTTCAGCAGGGTATGCAAACTCTCCACTAGTCACTTACCAGCACTATGCTGCTGGTCTAGTCATCTCAGTTCTCCGTGCCCCATGGCCCCTGGCTGCAGGAATAAGAGCGTCTATTTTAAAGGGTTATCATTAGGAACTACTAAAATTTGGTATTGTCAAGTACCAAACCAGACTTGGGCGAAATGTTCACAGTCTGTTTGCTTCCTTTCTTTCCTTTCCCTTTTTATTTTTAGACAGGGTCTCTCTACATATTCCCGGTTGTCTTGGAACTCACTCTGTAGACCAAGTTGGCTTCAAACTCACAGAGATCCACCTGCCTCTTCCTCCTGAGTGCTGGGATTAAACACCATGCTTGGCCCTTCATTTCTTCTTTTCCATTTCCCCATTTTGTTTCTAGTTTTATGTATCTTTAGTGGTCATGTCATCTCAATAGCACTAAAACTATCTTTGACCGGTAAATCTCCCAATACAGACTGCTGCTATGTGTTCAAGCAGAACACTGTGCCGCTGGGAGAGAGCAAGAGACAGGTACTGTTGAGCCTGGGAAAGCAGTCTGAGAAGCCTGTGGGTGCATGTTTACAAACTGTTGGGGGTCACGATGAATGAGATGCCAGGTTAGTGGGTGGACAAGAGGAAGTGGAGTAGGAAATGCTGAACTGACTTGAACTGGAAGATGGAAGCCTGAAATAGTGATACTTATGGGCTTCAGCAGGCAGCAAGTCACCCTCCCTGTGAGTTGGAGGGATAATGGTGTAGGCTTATCTACCTGTCTGTTCACCGGAAGTCTAGTTTGGTAGGTCACAGTGGTTCTGCAGAAATCTCCCAACCTACTCCCATCTTACTGTCCAGCTAGCCAGCTAGCCACTTGGTATACACCCACAGTCTCATAGAATCCAGGCTGAGCTGAATGGACAGCTTTATGTGATCATTTAGCACCTACAGTTTAAGGACTTCTACAGTCCCTCCCCAAAGTTCCTCACAGTAATGCTGAGGTAGTAGCCGGTCGGGCAGTGCCCTTCTGCTCAGAGATCAAAGTAAGAATGAACACAGCAGAAACAGAGCCGAGGCTGGTCAAGGCACGGTGCTGGTCAAAGACAGCTATCTGGCTCTCCCCCCATGATCCCTGTTTCTGTGTACGCCAGACTGGACCTCTCTGGCCAGCCCCACATTGCTGCTTCTCACACTAGTGTGGGCTTCAAGTCATCTTTGAAGTTCACAACAGGCTTGGAGCGGGCCCACAGCCTTTCCCAGGAAGCTAGTTCTGAAGTTTGCTCAAGGTCACTGTCTGATGTGTCACTGTCACTGGAGTCCAAAGAACTCTGGAAGCAGATTTCACAGTAGGGCCGATGGCAGCGGCAGAAAAATTCATCTGAACTGCTAGACCCACTGTCAAGGTTGTAGCACCCAGAAGACAAGGAAGGACAGTCAGGGGACACGAAGGGTTGAGGCTGACGCTGCTTGGGCAGACCTGGTGAAGACGGTAGGCATGGGGCAGTGAGACTTTGTGCCAGGGCAGAAGCAGAAGGTTGGCAAGGACCGCTTACATCGCATCCTCCGGCCCCCTGAGGTTCTGTCTGGCATCGTTTGTTGCCCTCTAGTGTACTCGGTCTCCGGTGAGGATCTGAGAGTGCTAATGGTTTTACAGAAGACGACCTTGGTACCTTGGACCTTGCATTTTGGTGGTCCAGCTTGGGGCTGTTCCGGCTCTGCACAGCCAGCCCGCTTTGCGCACCAGAAACAGTCCTATTTGCCTGATGCCGGGTATTGAGGGCCACAGAGGCAGGGAAGTGGGAGCGAGCCCGCTGGGCTGCCCGTCTTCTCACCACAAATGGGCTGAAACCCAGTTTAGATGGGGACAGCTTCTGGGGACTGCGGAAAGTGGCGCTCTTCCAAAGCTGTGGGGAACAAGGTAGTGGGGAAAGGGGAGCCTCGGGGCCCAGGTTCAGCTCTTGTAGGACTTCCTGAAGCTTCTCTCTGACCACTGAAGTGACCCGAGGTGGCCTCTCTGGAAGTTCATCTGAGATCTTCTTGGGCCTATGCGGTTCACAGCCTACTCCATCTGGCATGAAACTCTGGTTGGTGGCCATGGGTCCCTGGTCTCCTCTTTCTGAACCCTCACTTTGTTCAACCCATGGCTTCCGGCTGCAACCCATGTCCAAATGGTCACAAAACTGTTTCCTTTTGTTGTCCTTTTGGTCTGGGGAGGGACTAGTGTCCCTTTTAGATGCCCCAGGGTTTTGCATGTGTTGGGAGGCTACTGAGGCATGTAGGGAGTCCTGGGCAGCTGCATCAATAGAATTTTCAGAAGCAGCAGGGTGTTCCGAAGGTCCCTGAGCTGCCAGCCCATGCGCAGAGGCTGCAGCTGGGACAGCCCACTCGGAAGACATCAGCTTCACTAGCTTCTCCTTGGCGTTGTTGACTTGTTCCTGCAGGCTTTCAATTACTGCATTTTTCTGTGGAATAAAAACAAGACCATCAATGAAAGATGCTTCTAAAGGTCTTCCGTGGTGGAAAATGTGACACTGGTGACCCTGCACAAATCCCAATTTTTCCAGCATACTGGCAGGTGGCCTTAAGCTTGGAGGTGGGACTTACACTGGGTGAAATAATGCATGCCAAGCGTTTAGCACAGTAATGGATATGTGGTGCCCAGGAAAGACTGTAAGAGGTATTGTCACTATGGGCTCCCTTCCCAGCCATAGGCTGCGGACTGCTGTCTGTGAGGATGAAGAGGGCCTAGCCTCAAGGCTTGCTGGTAGCTGCACCATTATCTCATTTTCTCCAGCCCCTAGAGGGTCAGGTTGCTCTGTAGACACCAGACAGAGTAGTGTTTGGGGTCGTGTTAAGTAAAATAAGCCAGACCCAGTCAAATATTTCATGTTTTTTCCTAATGACCTAAAAGCAGAAAATGGGCTATTAGGACTGAGAAGGAAATGGGATAGAATGGGAAGAGAAGTGAGGTGAAGGAGAGGGTATGGACGGCCATGAACAATGCATCCTATATGCATGCCCAGAAATGTCACAGTGACATTAATTTCCAGGTTAATATGTGATAATATAAGAAAAGGATTATTATGCTTGGAGGTGGCACTTACTTGATTAAGTAGCTCTAGAGTGCAGCCCAGAAGATGGAGGAGGGTAGGGCAGCTCTGCCATCAAGACCATGAAGATACTGTCCTCCTGTGCAGATGTTAGTGAATAAACAGGCTGTGCCCCAGAGGGCAGACAGGTGACAGCTGCAGAAGTGTGCCCATCCTAACTGCAACTGTGAGGCAGGAAGTAGATGTGGGTGTGTGCTGGTGTGGGTGTCTGGGAATGCCTGCACTCTCGCCTTTGTGGAGTGTCAGTGAGCCGTCTAGTTCAGGCTGTATGTTCTCCTTTGGAGCGTTCTATGCTCAAGGCAGAGGGGCAGTGAAGGAATGGATGGTCTGGGGTGGATGAAGTGTGGGGAAGACAGTACAGCAAGTATTGGGTTCCAGCAAGATCTGTCTGGGTAACACAGTGTTGCCCTTGTGGCTGCCTTCCTTTTCAGGAGCCAAGGACAAGTGTTGGGACATCCCTTTATCATGCCCTAGAAACAAAAGAATGGACTGTCTTACAAAAATAGACAACCCAACCTGCCCATGGACTGAGCCTAGGCTTGCCTATCAAATTACATGGAAAAGTTGTCCAGAAATGATTCTTTTGGCTGGCCTAAAACTCACTATGTAGCCCAAACTGACGTCAGATTCATGGTAATCCCTCTGCTTTGATATCCCAAGCATGAAGATTAGGGGCATATGACACCACACTTGGCCAGCATTGACCACTTAAGGGAACAGTGCATTGAGTAAACCCTTCCAATAAGCTCACAGTGGCCCTATAAGGCCCCTGTCCCTGGCTCTCCTGGTTTCCTGATGGTTTGGTCAGATTTCTCAGTAACTGAAGAGGCACCAAGCCCAGTGAGAGACTGGGGAGCATCACCTGCCAGGACTCCCTCCCCCTTCTGAAGAGTGGTAGGGCCGGCTGTGGTTGGTGAGTAGAGACCACCTAGAACAGAGCCCATGAGTGACAGGGCTCCTTGTGCTATACGGGAGGTGTCAGATGACTCTAAGAACCTCCCAAGGTAATATGGTGGCTGCTCCGTAGGGGCTTGATCCCCTTCTTCCTCCCCTAGCACCTCATTCCCGAAACCCACCCCACAAGTTCTCATGCCAGCCTCAGCAGGCAGGAAGAAGCCATAGCTGATGACCACACTCGAGGGATAAAACACGACTTCTGTTTCCTTGTGCCTTATCTACAAATGACTTTGAGTATTGGAAACTCCTATGAGCCTCCAGATGGGAAGAGAGGGCCCTCCTCCAAGCTAACCAAATGACTGAAGCTGGCTGACTACAGATTTAGAAACATCAGTGTAAACAGTCAATTTCCCTTCTTCCACAAAAGGAAGCAAATCTCCGTTTTCACCATGGCTCTGTGTTAATTAGAGGCATGGTGTGAGGTCCTGCCACATCGAGTCCAAAATCTGACCTCCTGTGGCAGCGACTTTTAAATTCATTTTTGAGTCATTATTTTGGTCCATGGCAGGAAGCAAAATGTCAAAGGTATATGGAAGAGGGCACAGGCCCTAGGAGCCCACATTTCACCTCTCTCGGACCAGGAAGAAAAGGGAGGGTCACCAGAATATGGGGACAGTCTGTCCGCTGCTGTCGTGCACACTGGTACAAGAGAAGTGAGATGTGGCGACAGGTCAAGATTGAGGTGAGCTGGTTGTGATGTACATGCCTGGAATCCCAGTACTTGGGGAGCTGAGGCAGGAGGATCACAGTTTGATGGCCACCTGGGTTACATAGACACTATCTCAAAAGCGAAAACAATTAAAGACACAAGGCACAAATGAGAAGCTGGGCTGTCAGATCACGGGAACTGCAAAGCGGGTCCAGTGAGCTCAGCCCAAACCCTGGTGTGGTCCGATGTAAAGAAGGGGCAGGGCTGGCACCCAGGATGCAGAGCAAACCATCCTGGCTTCCAGGTCTCCAGGACTGGCTGTTGGCTCTCCGGCCTGTTCTACAGAAGATGCTTACGCATAGCCACTACAGCAGAGGCAGCTTTTTTTGCTACTTATGTACTTGAGCTTGCTAAGGGCTCTTGCCCTGCAGGCTCAAGGTTTCTTTTGGAAAGAGCACATTCAGCCACTTCGTGGGAAACAGGATAGCATGGCAGAAGTACAATAAGCTGCTCGAGAAATTACCATAAGGCTAAAGAGTCCGTTCCAGTCCACTTGGTTGTTTCCGTGTTGGTTGATTGTAAAAGGAAACCATCCTACTGGTAGCCAAGTTTCAGACCCTCCATTTATCAGGGGAAAACGTTTCTTTAAAGACTTTACAGAGCACCAGGGGCAGGGCTCCTGCTTTGCCAGGTGGAAAGAAATCTGGCTGTGAAATAATGTCCAGAATGTTTAATAAATAGTAAAGAAAGGGAGTGGTTTCTCTGAGGGATAAAGAAGAACCAGAGAGGAGGGTATATTGCAGGAGGCCAGAGAAGCAGGGCCAAGAGGTGCCAGCCAGGCTTGGCCCTTCATCTGGTGTGTCTAAGGTCCTTCTCACACTGTCTTCTCATAAGATCATAGGGTTGTTCATGTTCAGGACACAGTCCCTCTACCAAAAAACAAGTTTGGTTTCCCTAATACCACAAACTCAGGAATGGGGTGTGTGTGTGTGTGTGTGTGTGTGTGTGTGTGTGTGTGTGTGTGTGAAAATACTTACTAATTCATTCACCTGGGCCCTGTGCTGTCTTCTTATGGAGCACAGCCCTCGGGCTTTTCAAGCCCACGTTATGCTTGCCTGAGAGAGGGGCCAATTCTGGTTCAAGTACATAATAAAGAAAGGCTGGGGCACCCAAGCTGCCTTGATGCTTTGGTGACATCCAGAGACCCTCATTCACGTGTAGACACACTTGAGAATGCTGGGCACTGAAAGGCTGAGGTATTGCAGAGAGACCTTATCAGGTCCTGGACACAACGGCAAGGCTCTATGTAAAGAATGTTCACAGGAGTCCTAATGTCTCCTAGAGCTCAGGGTCTTTCCAATGCTGTTCCCTCTGCATGGTTTTTTTTTTTTTACTCTATCCCTGGCCACTTGTTCTCCATCATTAGTCTTTATTCAGAGTCTTTTCTGACTATTCTGCTACGTTCTTTTTTCTCCTTCCACAACCCATTATTCTCATTTATCATCCTGATTGCTTCTTTCAGGATTATCATCACAATTTCAAACTTTTCCTTTTTGGTTCTGGAGCTCAACTGGCTTTGAGCTCCCTAAATAAAATGAGGATGACCTTGAACTTCTGATTCTCTTGCCTTCACCCCCAGAGTGCTGAAACTCTAGGCAGATGCCAACACACCCCGTTCAGTAGACATGGGATGAAAGCCAGGCCTTTATGTGTGCTAGATAAGCATTCTATCAGTTGTACTTCATCTCCAGTCTTTCCTATCACAGTTTATGATTAAATGTTTACTTAACCAATATCCATTTGTTCCGCTTGACTGTGAACTCCATAAGAACCAAGTTTGTCCTGTTCGTCAACATGTAGCACAATGACTCAGTCTACACCTATCTGAGAGAGATACATGAGAGACATGGATGAGGGTCATTGGGGTGACGGTGAGGTTTTGCTTGGTGTTGGGGAGAGTAGAAGAACGTCCGAGACAGAGAATGTTGGCGATGAGAACATGGGGGGCCATGAAAATATGCATGGGTCATGAGAACATGAGGGGCCCTGAGGGCATGCGGGACCATGAGGGCATGCCGGGTTGCTCCCACATGGCTGGAGTTTCTCACAGGGAACCTGCAGGGCAAGGTGGGGCTTACTTCTGTGAGGAGCCTCTCCATGCAGCTCTTCTCGTTCCTCAAGTGGCAGCTCTGGTCCTCATCAAACTGGCTGTGGAAGCTTTTGCTAGGGGTGCTGAAATATTTGGCCATGCGTCTGACTGTTTGGTTTTCTCCTTCAAATGCCTTCCATTGCTTCAGCTGTTAGTCAAAAGAACACATGTTATTTATTTAATTACACACCCAGAAATACTTCCCTTGCTCTTTCTCATAAATACCAAGGAACGAGAGACACTGTTACCAGTACACATATGCACAAGCTATTTACTCCTCACACTGCCTTTTGCTCTGCAGTATTCATAGACAGTAATGACAGAAAACATGGAGGATGCTAAGGTTTTGTGCTTTAAAAATGCCTGAGAATAAGACAGAACATGGTACAGAACAGCCTCTCTGTTGTCAAAGCATCACAGGAAATTAGTGCAGAGACATGTCTCGAGCAGTGTTCTAAAGCTCTTGGTTGGGAGCAGTCTAAACAAGAATGTGTCTATGAAGCTATTTCTGTTTGTATATAGTTATTCCTTGCCATCTTTCAGTTACTAAGGAGCAATGTGTTTCCAGCTGTTGAGAGCCCAGTCCCTTGTTGGAGGCTTTCTAACCCAAATTAATGACCAAAGAGCAAATAAAAACCAACAGATCTCAATAAAAACCACAGAATGTCAGGTCTGACACATGGTCATATTTTCCGACAGGGAAAGTGGTTAGGAGTGTAACTTTTCCAAGGTGGCACATCACTTTTGACAGCTATAATCAGAACCATCATACCTTGGATTCTAATGAAGAAACAGAATGTTGGGGGTCCCAAAACTGTCCTCTGGGAGCAATCGGTAGAGGCATGAGCTGGCCAACATTTTGTTTGTTTGTTTGTTTTGTTTTTCGAGACAGAGTTTCTCTATTGTTTTGGAGGCTGTCCTGGAACTCACTCTGTAGACCAGGAAGGCCTTGAATTCACAGAGATCCACCTGATTCTGCCTCCTGGGTCCTGGGATTAAAGGTGTCGCCACCACCACCAGTAGGCAAATGAAAATTTGTGATGATGATGTTAAGGTTTGGGCATGGAAGGGTTATTCTGGATTATTCAGGTAGGTCCGTTGTCATTACAAGAGTCCATATCAGAGAGGAGGCGAGCCAGAGAAGAGGACAGAGTAAAGAGAGAGGGGAGGGATGGCCATTGAGGTGCCCCTCTGCTGGATCAGAAAGGGGAGGGAGAAGCATGAGCTAAAGAAGGCAAGGGGGCTTGTAGAAGCAGGAAAATCCAAGAAATGGATTCTTTCCTTATCTGCAGAAGAATAAATGCAGATCTAAGGATATTTGGTTGCAGTCAAATAAGACCCATTTCAGATATCTACTCTACAGAACGGCAAGACTATGGTGGTTTGAAAGAAAATGGCCCTAAAGGGAGTGGCCTTGTGCGGCGGGGGAGAGGGGCAGGCTTTGAGGTCTCTTTTCTCAAGCTTTACTCAGTATGACAGTCAGTCAACTTCCTATTGCCTCTGAGTTAAGATGTAAAACTCTCAGCTCCAGCACCGCTTCTGCCTGCACACTGCCATACGTCCTATCATGATGATAATGGACTGAACCTCTGAAACTGTAAAGGAGCCACCCCAATTAAATACTTTCTTTATAAGAGTTGCTGTGGTCATGGTGTCTTTTCACAGCTATAAAAACCCCAACTAAGACAAAGACAATACATTTGTTTGGTTCAAAGCCATTGACACGTATTTCAGCAGTCACAGGAAACTAGTACCAGTGGGAATCTATGTGGCATCAGGTCACACGGTGCTTCTAGAAGCCACAGAGTTGCCTCTCTAGCCTCTGACTTCTCACCTTATTTCTATTTCAAGAATAGCAGAGAGGCTGGAGATATGGCTCACCAGTCTAGAGGAACCCGGTTTGGTTCTCAGCACCCGCAAGCTGGCTTACAACTGTCTGTAACTCCAGTTCCAGGGGACCTGGTACCTTCTTTTGGCCTCTGTGGGCACCAAGAATGCACATGGTGCAATGGCATTCATGCAGGAAAACATTCGTACACATCAAAAAATAATAAAAATAAAATTAATTTAAAAACAAGATGGCATCGTGGGTAAGGGTGCTTGCCACTAAGCCTGGTGACCTGAATTCAATCCCAGGAACCTCTATAGTGAAAGGAGAGAACCATTTCCTCCTTCAAGTTGTCATCTGACCTCTATCTGTGCACCATGGTATACACATATGCACACGCAGACACAAATAAAAGTATTCTTAAATGTAGTAAGTGAAAAGAGTAAAATCTGGCTATTCCTTCTTTGGAATTCTTCCCAGTCTTGGGAGTTCATTCTCATTTTCTGTCTTATTTCTCTCTGTTTCCTTGCTGTATTTGTCTCAAGACTGACCTCCAACGCCCATTTGTTGTGAAGGTGCTCCAAGCTCTAGGAAAGTCTGGGGCAGCTTCCAAAGCACACACATTTTAATTCCTCTTATGTCGGCTTCCCTCAGACTTAAAGAAGGGAAGGACCCTGTGCGTCCCTGCCAGCTAAGATGTGACCAGAGGACACCTGAATAAATGAAGGATGCTTTTCTTTACAGTTCTCCAGTCTGTGGGCATGAGGTAAAGGGGGCAAGTCCTAAGTGTGTCATGGACACGGGGCTGAAAGAGAAAATGTCCTCGGAATTTTGCCTTTCAGAATGGAATAGAAGGGTGGGGGGATGGGTCACACTCAGGTCACAAAAGCTGGAGGGCTGGCTGGAGGCTGGCGATGACCTCAGCGCTTGGCATCAGATACACCCATGCATTTCCTGATGTGTACAAGTTTCTTGGTTCCCTTGCCTACAGTCGCTTCACCATGCTCTCCAGCGCCGCCTAGAGACCCTTCCGGGTCACAGCAGCCTGAAGGCTCTGGCTAGCCCAGGACTCACCTCTCTGCAGCCACCATCCACCCGATCCTCCCCCCTAAGCTCCCCTAAGACTCCTTCTGTAACGTGCTCAGCCGTCTGGCCCTGGCGACACAGCGCGAGTCTCACAGGGAAAGCCGTGCTTCTACCAAATACCTCTGAGCCCAGAGGAGAAATAAATTTTAGGAACAGACTTCAGTTATTTCTCTCTGATGAAAAACAACTTAGCCCCTAAAACTAAAATACTGTAAAATGCAGTTTAGTCTCATATCACGGTCAGTTCAAGAGAAAAAAGCTCGAGAGAGAAGAGAGAAACAGAAGATGAGAGGTAAAGAGAAAGGAAGGCCAAGAAAACCAGGAGGCAAAGGGATGAGGCAGGGGAGGGACGGGTCGCCCACCCACCACATTCCGGAACTCAATAGCAGTCTCCTCCCAACTCGCACTCCAGCACAGTTGGTAACTGTAGGTAAATTCTGGGAGACAGAAGTGAATCTGTTCATCACAGCTGCAGAGGATCCAAACACCAGAGGAAGCAGGAATCCTGCGGCTGAGGCTGAGAGCACAAGAGTAAGAGTGCGGAGCAGAAACACAAACTAGAACCATCCAGGGAGCCTGTGGATCCCTCCATTTTCAGAGGGGCGTGGCGCAAATCGTAAAGCCTTTCCTTAGGGAATTCCTTTGTGGTTAGCGTCCTTCCTTCCTCCCTTCCTCCCTCCCTCCCTCCCTTCCTCCCTCTCTTCCTCTCCTTCCCCCTCTCCCTTTCTCCCTCTTTCCTCTATTCACTATGAACTCTGCCCCTAGACCTATTCTTTTTATTTTTTTTAGTTTCTTATATTTAATCTGTCTTTTGCTTCCTTAGTTTGTTAGCTCACTATTTTACAGTGTCTAAGTTGCCTATTCAATGCTTCATTTCAACTTAGCGTCATTTTCATCCTCATTCAACATTTCATTATCTAAGACTAGATTCCTGATTTTGTGGTTTGCTTTTGTTGAAAAGAGGCAATGTCCTTGGAATCTTATTGACCAAGCGAAATAAATATCTTGGGCCATTTTCTGCTGTAGAAGAATGCATCGCCACCAAGCCTTCGGGTATGTGTTCTCCTTTGCACCCCTGGGTTTTCCTTAAGAATCATTTTGCCAGGTGGTGGTGGCACAAGCCTTTAATCCCAGCACTCAGGAGGCAGAGTCAGGTGGCTCTCTGTGGGATCGAGGTCAGTCTGGTCTACAGAGAGAGTTCCAGGACAGCAGGGATACACAGAGAAACCCTGTCTCTAAAACAGCTCTTACAATGTTTATATACTACAAAGTCCCTCCAGCTTGTGGCACAAAAGCTGCACCCAGCCTTAGGCACTCACCTCCCCCCCATGAATGTTTTGTTGAAAATTATTGAGCAGGAAGGAGACTGAAGTTACACCATGGAGGCTGAAAGGTGACTGTAACCTTGAGTTTCACCCCAGGAAGGGATTCAGAAGGGGGAAGACGGGAGAGCAGGAGGAAAAAGAAAGCATTCAGTGGCTGGACCGGTAACATGATGGATGAGGCCCTGCAGCCCATCAGCTCAGGAAACAATCACCAGAGCTTTCCTCCTGGGCTTGAGGATTTTCTCCACCTCTCCTCTCCTTGCCAGGATGTTCTTTCTGCTCCTACCATCCCCCTTTATTTGATTACATTTTAATCTCTCTCTCTCTCTCTCTCTCTCTCTCTCTCTCTCTCTCTCTCTCTCTCTCTGTGTGTGTGTGTGTGTGTGTGTGTGTGTGTGTGTGTGTTTCAAGACAGAGTTTCTCTGGGTAGCACTGATTGTCCTGCAACTTACTTGCTCTGTAGACCAGGCTAGCCCCAAACTCATAAAGGTCCTCCTGCCTCTGCCTCCTGAGCACTGGGATCAAACACATGTGACACCACTGCCAGGCTAATCTCTCCAGATTATAAGAAGACTCTGGGTTTCCCCCCATAAAGAAAGAAAAGCCCACGGTGTAGTTAAGGATGGCCCGACTCCCCTGCCTCCATCTCCCAGGTGCTAAGATTACAGGGGTACACCACCATACCTGGCTAGGGAAACCATTCCACTTCTAGAAGTTCTAGGCAGAAATTTCTCTATGAACTTGCAATCCCAAATCCCAAATTAGAAAGAAAAAGACTTTTCTCTTTGAGGTTAGCCTGGGCCACACAGTAAGTTGCAGAGCAGATTGGGAGCTGTGGGAAGCAGGAGTGAGGTCACCTCAAGGAACAGCCCCGCCACTGGTAACCCTCTTTGGCTTGACTGGGGAGCAGAGCTGTCTTCTTGTGAGCCCTGAGGAGGTACAAAGGGGCCCCTAGCCCTTCTTCTGACCATCATATTTGCAGGGAAAGTAGAATGACCCATCATGCCCTGTGAAGAACCCCACAGAGCACTCCCAGCATACCTGGGGAAGGAACACGCAGCAGTTTACCGTGGTTGTGCAAACGAAGATCCCTCCAGATGTGACTCCAAAGACTAGATTGGACCAGGAGTGCAAGTATTTGGTGAGCAGGAAAATTAACCCAGCGCTGAGCAGCAGGAGGTTGACTCCGACCATGATGGTCAAGGACTGATTCACCGGAGGAGAGCTGACATGGTTGGTCAGGCCAGCCAGGTAAGCACCATACAGCAGCAGCAGCCCCTGCAGGAGGAGCAGGGACCAGAGGCACAGAGAAGGGGACTACAGGTCAGAGCAGCAGGGTTGGAGACAGAGTCTTCATCGGTAATGCCGGGCTAATAACATCTGCCTAAAGATTTGCAGTGAGCTTCCACTAATATGGGACACAAGAAACCAGGGGATAAGTCCTTATAGCTATGGGCTCTGATTGTCACTTCCTGTCCTTCACTGAGAATGAGTCTATCAGAGGCTGGCAAACAAGTTATCGGATAATGCAACATTCTCTGGGAAAAGGCACAGAGCCACATGCAGGTGGACAGGAGTTCCACAGATGGGGCAGTGGGCACTAGGAAGCCAGGCGAGCCAGCTCCTGCTGGTGTGTGTGTGCAGGGGGCGTGCTACACATCCATTGTGGCTTGGCAATGAACGAGGCTGAGTGGCACATGGGAACCGAGAGGGACCTATGGTCCGCTTGTCCAGTCTTGTGCTACAGCAGCAGGGCAGTGCCAGAGGGAGGGGGTTATTATTTGTTTTCCCAGGGAGCTCAAAGGCACCATCTGCTTGCCAGGCTCTGCACCTGCAAGACGGCATCTGCCTGGAAGAAGGCTGTTTTCTATTCCACACAAAGGAACTCCATAGGCTGCCGGTGGCTCTGTGCAGTGGGGGTTCTTGGGAGATGAAAGATGGAAAAAGAGGAGAACAAAGGCAGCCCAGGACCCTGGCAAGAATGAAGGGAGGCATAGGCAGCAGGCGCTATATCTGAACTGCTTTGTGACATTCCCCGCCTCTATCACAAGGAACTGGGGCCCAGTTCTTTCCCTCTCTTCATAAACATAAACCTGTCCTCCCGGTTCTCACTTGTACCAGGGAGAAAATGGCATGGTCCCTGACAGTGCTACTGTCCCCAGAGGCAGCCACACATATCCAGACAGCAAAGATTTCATAGAAAATACTCAGTGTACATTTTCTACACACACTAGTCTTTTCTGACCTGCTCAGAGTACTATGCTACAAACCATTGCTACCAAGGATATTCACAACCAGGAATCATAGGTGACCAGGCATCCCAGCACTGGTGAGGCTGAGACAGGAGGATTGCCATGAGGCCAGTTTGGGCCACACGGTGAGACCATGGACTGTGACTCAAAACAATAACAGCATGAGGGCAACAATAGCAGAGTCGAGGGTTTGCCTGGAAAGGAGAGGAGAACAAACCATGCTCTGTTCGTAATTGGAATGTATAGCACAAAGTCAAGGACTTGTCTGGCGGGGACAGGAGAGGAGAGCCAGTCATGCGCTGTTCGTAACTGGATTGTGGGTATGAGGTGAGGCCGAGAGCCAAGAGGACTCGGGAGAATAAGGAGAGTCAGGCCAGGTGTCTTGTTGACTCTGAGATCACATGACCTGGCCAACTCCACCTGCCGGCATGTCTCGAGGGGTGGCTTTGGAAGCTTTGGCTATACTAGAAGGGAAGGAATCGGCTTGGCAGAGGTGCTGCTGATACCCAGTGTCCCAAATGGGGGTGCAGGGTCAAGCCCAATCTCCGTTGGATCTTCACTGAGTAGATGGGCACAAGTAAGGGACCAGTGGGGCCTGACCAGTGGTCCTGGGTAACCAATACCATTGAGTTGCACTCAACAGCTTATCGTTGTTAGTTTGACCAAAGGTGAATAAAAGTAACTCTGTGATTCTGAACTGTTAAATGTGATTTTAATAAAACAGTATAATTCCACTAAAATTCTTGCTAAAAAGGATAATAGGTGTGAGTATAAGACACTGTACCCACGGCTACTATTAGAGGGTGTCACACTTGATCCTTGATTGTCATCTACCTTTTGTCAGCAACTGTGGGGGTGGGACTCAACCATACTCTGGAGCTCCTTGCTGGCAGGGTCCCACAGGGGGTTGACTCAGGCAGTTTTCTGATGTTCTCCATATCCTATAGAACACTTCTATAGTGAAAAGAAGTGCGGTGAGAATGCCCAGAAAGTAATGGGGGAAATGTACGAAGGTGGGGTGCCTCGTGGAGAGGTGAGGGGCGGATAAGCTCCGAGATCCCAGAGCTGAGAAGACCCAAGTGCTTCAGAACTGTCCAGCGCCAGAGGAAGAACAAGAATAGTAAGATGGAACAATCTGGAGCCCTCACTAAGGGCAGGGGTGGCTGGAAACTCTTGTGTGTGAATTCTAAGCAGCTATAAAGGGGCTGTCATTGTCCCTACTCAAGGAGGTTATGGCTCCTGGAGGCTGGATGAGGTTGGGGTTCAGCTAGGAAGGGGCCAGGGCAGAGTTCAGTGCATTCCTAACCATTTCCGGGATACAAGTCAGAGACGGCTGTTCGCTTTCTGGATTCTTCCTTTAAAAAATACTCCCAAGCCAGTTACAATGGCTCACATTATGAGTTCAAGGCCAGCCCGCCTTACACAGCCAATGAGGGCTAAATAGGAAGACCCTCAACAAACAAACAAACAAATAAAATCCCTTCCCCAGAACCGCCCCCCCCAGAGAAAAACAAACCATAACACCGGAGAAACTAAATTCCTAATAATTTGTCAGTAGACTGACACATGAGGAGTTGTAAAGGTACCCCCTCCAAATGTAAACAATGGAGAAATAAAAGGTTCACAGCTTTGGAACTTCCATGCATAAGCCCAGGTTGGCTCTGAGCTCACCATTCCCTGACATTGCTACCCATGAATAAATCTCATGAATCCCCAAATTCTCTTTCCAAATCTACTTTGTTGGAGACAGACTGTAACCTGTGGAAATGTGGTACCAACCTTGCATCCCCAAACCAGAGCAATCCAGACATCAGAGTACCTCGAAGCACAGAAGTGTGTGTTGGTCAAAGAGCAGGACACATCTCTCCCTGTCACCTGTGAGGGACATGAGGGTCACAACCAAGAGCATTCAAATTCCTGGGACCACACAGCAGAGCTCTGTGAACTTGCTGGAGTGTGAATTCTTCCTTATCATAGAGTGTCCCCTCTCAGTATGGAAAAATGTAGAAAAATTTAGGTTCTGCTAGAACCTGAACCAGGGTGCCTAAGCAGGAGGGAAGGGAGAGAGAGGTGGGTGACTAGAGATGTTGGGCCACTTTGGGGCTTACTCAAGGGCATGTGCTTTGTTACGACCATGGCCCCAAACATCACCTCAGCAGAATTAAAAGAGTATTTCACATCACAGTCATTATTCACAAACAACCAACTCGTTATTCAATGACCTTAGCAACACTGATCCATTGTATTCCTCAGCCCCTTTAACCTGAATTATTTCTCCTAATCTTCAGAGCCCAGTGGAAAAGGTGGCATCGTTACCCCCTCCTTACCCTCTCTATCTGGAAGGGACACTTGGGTTATGCAGCCTTCCCCCAGGGGCACGGCTGATGCAGGTTGTGATTTGAACTGAAGCCCAATGATGACAATGACAACCTCAAAACTTCACCTTTATCTCCCAACAGGGAGGGGAAAGCAGCTCCCTAGAGCTAGAAGTTCTCATCAGTGTCTCTGTGCAAGCAGAGAGAGCTGCCAGGCTGATTCCCCCATGCACTGACATCTGGGAGGACGCTCATGAGAGACTGGGGTCACAAGGAGCATTGTAGGTGGCAGAATAGCCTGCAGACAAAGGACAAGGTACACAGGGCAGACACCGCCCCTGCTGAGGAGATAAAGAGGTCACAGAAGACAGTTCAAGCAGGAATTAGATTGCCCAGGGAGAGGCCCTCACCTTCATGCTGACACCAAGGATCTGGAGACACTGGATGGGATCCGTCAACACCCACGTCACAAGCAGGATTACATCAGCTACCACCAGGGCTGCCACCAGCCCCAGCAACTGCAGGTCTTTGATAATCTGCAAAGAGTCAAGGTCAAGATGTCTCCTCTCTTGTTGGCTGTATTTAACACCTGTGCTAGAGTGCACCCTGCGCTCTGAGCTATGGGCTATAGCGACAGCACTCTGTGGGAGCATCAAAGGCAACCATCAATGATACCACCAATGAGGACTGCAAGACTGAATGCCTTCCCTGAAAGTCTATTCAGTTATTGTTATTGTTACCATTAAACCTTTCCATTCGTTTAATGTTTTGTTTTAGTTTTTGAAGATAGGGTTCTCTGTGTGGCCTTAGCCCATCCTGGAACTCACTCTGTAGACCAGTCTGGCCTTAAACTCACAGAGATCTGCCTGCCTCTGTCTCCCAAGTGCTGGGATTAAAGGCATGTGCTACCACCACCCAGCTTGTTCAATGTTTTGAAGTCCTAACTTTTCTGGCAAAGGTTTCCAGGGGTCTTGTAAAGGAAGCTCACTTTTACCTCTGTGAGCACATGAGAAATGTGGAGAGCTACTACCAGACTTTGCCATAACTCAGAGATGGGATTGAAAGATGGAGGAATTACTAATATTTTCTCTATAATTTGACTAGTATGAAGAGAGTGTTGTTTTTTGACAATAAATCTTAAATTGATTATGACAATTTAATAAAAGATGTATTAGACTGTTTTGATACCCAGTTTTTTTAGTTCTATATATTTTCTAGATTACTGCCTAATTATTAAAGAGTTTTGCATTCTGTAGTCTTCTGCTTTGTCCAAATAACGGTGTCCTTTCTATACAGAAGGTTTTAGCTTCATGAAGTCCCCTTTATTAATTGTTGGTCCTAATGCCTATGGTATCAGTGTCCTGTTGAGAAAGCGTTTCCTGTGCCAATGAGTTCAAACCTAGTCCCACTTCTTTTCTATCAGGTTCAGGGTATTTGGTCTTATGTTGAAGTCCTTGATCCCTTTGGGGTTGAGTTTTGTACAGGGTGACAGATGTGGTAGATCCAAGTTCTCGACAACCACCCGTGGAAAGAAGTAAGTCAGTTATAATATTTGCAAGAGCAAGATAAACTTTGCATAATCAAATTGCTCACAAGAGAAACCACTGCTAGTAATCAGGGGAAAGACATGCTCCCTACTAAGAAGCAAAGATCAAGGCAGTGTCAGACCTCACCGTATAAGGCCAAGTGAGAAGACAGTGGAAGAGGGCCATCTTCATCTAAGTACAGAAACAGAAAGGAAACATTCAAAGATTGGGATCATCTAGTGGTAGGTTCACTGACAAGCGTGAGCAAGGCTCTGAACTCCATCCCCAATACCACACAACAAGCAAATGGCAACATATCTTTTGGAAACATGCTCAAAATAAAGATGTTTTCATCCACATGAAGCTGAAAGAGCTCAGCACTGTACACTCACAGTAGAACAGCCTTAATCCTTCAGATCAAAGTGGAATGATACCAAATGAAAATGGGAATATAAGCTGAGTGTAGTTTCACACTTCTTTAGTTCCAGAACTTGGGAGCCAGAGGCAGGTGGATCTCTGTGAGTGAAAGGCCAATCAGGGTTATGTAGCGAAACCGTGTATCAAAAAACAAACAAACAAAATTGCATACAGGAAATTAAGAGCACTGGAAATGTTAACTGCATAGGAAAAGATGTTATTTATTTTTACTAAATACCTTTATAAGATAGTTGTTTAACAACAATTATGACAATTGAGTGGGGCTTTTAGCACATGTAAAAATGAAACACAAAGATTGGGATAGGAAGAAATGAAAGTAGACTCTGTTGCATAGTGGTTATCCTAGAACAGTGAATAGTACATAATAATTTTACTATCGTATACAAAACACTCTAGAAACTGAAGAGGAAGAAATAGTTCCCAACTCATTCTACAAGATCAGGATTACCCTGATACCCAAACTAGACTAATAAGAAAAAGAAAACTACAAGGCATACTCTAGAACACTATAATTCTGGAATTTTTGGAAGCTGAGACAGGAGGATCACCACAAATCTGAGGCCAACCTAGACTACATAGGTAAACCTGGGCTATATTGTAAGACCATCTTAAAAAACAAAGCTGCTAGAACTATTAAGTAAGTTAGCAAGGTTGAAACATACACACAAGACCAGCACCAAAAGCCACCTATGTGTCTGTATACGAGAAAAAATCAATGTAAAAGTGTAGCTTACAAACAATAAAACATACAAAGTATAACAACTTAAAAAGTAATGAATATGGTAAAATATTTGAAAGATCTATGCTGAGATAAATTAAAAAAAAAACTAAGTAAGTGGAGAAATGCATAGTAGTCATGGGCTAAAAACCAACATTGAGCCTGGTCTACAAGAGCTAGTTCCAGGACAGTCTCCAAAGCCACAGAGAAACCCTGTCTCAAAAAAACAAAACAAAACAAAACAAAAAACAACAACAAAAATAAAATAAAATAAATAAAAATAAAAGCCAACATTGTTAAGGAATCAATTCTCAAGTTTGATCTTAGATTCAATACATCTCCAGTCATAATGCTAACATGATTTTTTATGCAGATTGGCAAACCAGTTAAAAAACTTGTTTGAGAGCTGGTGAGATGGCTCAGCAGGTAAAACTGCTTGCCAATGAGCCTCACGACCTGAACTGACCCCAAGGTCCCAAATGGTGAAAGGAGAGAACCATACATATGCTGTGGTAAGTATCCCCATTCTGCCACACATGTGTGCCTGCACACATGCACGCACATGCGTTTGCACACACACACACACACACACACACACACAAACTCTAAAATTTCTAGAAGTAAACCTAGGAGAAAAAAGCATTGACACCATTAATTAAGCAAGTATTTCTTATACTTGATATCCAAAACATGATTCACAAAGACTAAGTTAGAACTGGATGTAGGGGATACCAATGTAATTCGAGTACTCAGGAAGCAGAGGCAGGCAGATTCCTTGAATTCAAGGCCAACCTGATAATGATAGTGAGTCCCAGGCAAGCCAGAGCTACCCAGTGAGATCTTGCCTCAAAAACAAAAAACAAAATTAAGTTAAAATACACACTTAACCATATGAGCCAAACCAAACTCTCAGGTTTTTAGCAAAGAGAAATGGAAGCATGTATCTATACAGAGATGTGTACACGAATGTTCACACCATCTTTATCAGTATTAGTCCCAAACTGGAAACAACCCAAACTCCATCAACGGGTGAACAGATAAACTATTGATTTACACAGCAGCATGGCACACAGCAGGCGTTCTTCCCACTGAACTATGTCACCAGCAGCAAAATTTTATTTTCACCTATCTATCTATCTATCTATCTATCTATCTATCTATCTATCTATCTATCTATCTATTTTGAGATAGAGTCTCATGTGTCCTCACTATGTGGCTAAGGGTGACCTTTTTTTAAAAATTGCTTTTAGGAACCGGAGAGATGGCTCAGTGGTTAAGAGCACTGCCTGCTTTTGCAGAGGATCCGATTTGCTCCCCGACACACACATGGTGCTTCACAGCCATCTGTAACTCCAGTCCTGGGGGCCCTGATGCCCTCTTCTTACCTTCTTGGTCACAGTCACACATATGGTACACACACATACGTGTAGGCAAAACACTCATACACATGAAATAAAATGAATATGTCTAGCATTTGTTTTCTTACAGATTTATTTTTAGTTTGAAATTATGTGCATGTGTGCACCCGTGTGCAGGTATGTGCACATGCCAAACCTGGGTGCTGGGAACCCTACTCCATTAACTACTGAGTTATCTCTCCAGTCCATGATTCCATTTATGTGAAACTCTGGAAAGTGAAAGCTAATCTTTAATGCCAGAAAGCAAAACAGAGGTGTCTCGGAGTAGGCAGGGATAATGTAACAATGGACCATGGATGTTGAGCATCTGGGGACCGTGGAGTTGGGTAGGTCACATGTTCCATGGGTTAAGACGTAATATCACACTTTTTATTCAGGAGAGAGAGCTAATACAGTCCCCCACTACCACAAATCATTCAGTTGAGTTACCTGTGTATGCAGAAATCTCAGGGACCAGCACACTCCAAGAACAATGGGTGAGCCTCTCTCTGGGAAAACCATCTGCCTGATCATGGTGTCTCCCCTGCCAGGTAAATGTCATGTCACACTTTTTTTGTTGTTGTTGTTTTGGTTTTTCGAGACAGGGTTTCTCTGTATTGTTTTGGAGGCTGTTGGTCCAGCCTGGCCTCAAACACACAGAGATCCGCCTGCCTCTGCCTCCCGAGTGCTGGGATTAAAGGCGTGAGCCACCAACGCCCGGCTTCTTTTTTTTTTCATGTCACACTTTAATATTATATTTCTTGTGTGTCAATTATGCCTCAAAAAAGCTATTTTTGGAATGGTATCAAGAGCGATGAATTCTGTCCTTTTAGGCAACTTTCTGTATCTGTGTGATTACTCACAGCTGAACTTTTGCTAAGTATCCACTATGATTCGATAATGTTTGGGTTTAAAATTCCATAATTGCAGAGAAGTAGTCTGACAGAATTATATATGAGGTCTGGGGAATCTCTAGCTGAAGAGGCCCTGATCTGGCTGTGAGGTCTGGACCGCTGTATCAGGGACTCTGATAAAATGGAGGAGTATGGTTACAATAAGTGCTGGGAGCCAGGGCCATGCAGGTGACCTGATTGCTGTGTGGTTGCACAGTCAATTCTACTCTCTGAGTCCCTTCTCTTGCTCACAGCTTTAGCTACACCCCTCACAGTGCAGAGAATTGCCTGCATGGAAGAGACCCGAGCTCTAGGGAGAGGAGTAATTCAGATTCTTGTTATAACCTCTCTACACTCACTCTTTTGATGGCAGCTCCTGTCTGTGCCAAGAGCCAGTCTCTCTGGGCATCTTGTTTTCACTCCCACTGTGCAGGTATTGGCCAGCTCACGGGTTCCCATGGAGCCTGGGGTGGGTGTACTTAAAGGAGCCACCGTTCAAAGGTCTAGTTCTAACTCTCAGTCCTAGAAGTCTGGGGCTTTGTGGAGCCAAGTGACTCTAAGGATTGAAACGAGGAGCAAGAATTCCAGCCATCCTACGGCCATCCCAGAGATGTGTACTAACTCCCAAAGCTCTGAGCCACCATGGAGCTCCTGCTGCAGCTAGCCCAGCATTGTATACTGGCTGCCAACTCACCACTCTCTTGTCCGGGACCCTCTGGGTAAACACCTTGTAGAGTCGCCAGCTCTTCCCCAGGATAGGGCCGAACACAAGGGATGTCCCAATGCACAGCATGGACAGTCTTATCTGGGGGGGGGGGCAACAGAAGCAAGAGTCACAAGTGGAACCCTCATCCATCTTCAATGTCTCAGGCCCACGGAGGATATGGGGTAGAAAGTGGGCCTTGCTGAATGCCCATAACACGGAGACATAACTACCACTCATAGAAGGAGCCATGAGCGTGAAACATTTTCGAAGTTCAACATGGTGTCCGAAACAAAAGTTTCAAATGTCACCTACCTGAATGAGCACTTCCATGGAACTCCCCACAAAAGCATCTTGAATCCCAAAAAGGTAAGCGCTGCTGTAAGTCAGACAACTGCCCAGTAAGGTCACAATGTTCAGATTGGGGCTGGACATCTTCACAATCCTAGGTGGAAATAGGAAGAGGGACATAGCTATGACCCATTGCACCAGTGTTGAAGACATGCCAGAAGACATGGGGTTCTTCACATACACCAGTTATTAGACGCACACATTGCCTTTCTTTCCTTATTTGATGGAAAAGAGAGGAAACGGAGGACAAAAGCAGAGAATTGAGGCAGCGTCTTTTTTAGGAGAGGGAAGAAATGAAGTCAGTGGGTAGCAGAAGACTACAGGGGAATGTGGGTAACTGGGGTTCCAGACAAACTCTAGACACCAGCAGAGGTCCAGGATGTGAATCAGTTGATGGGAGGTGGAAATCCAGGGTGTGAATCAGTTGATGGAAGGGGGAAATCCTGGGTGTGAATCAGTTGATGGGAGGTGGAAATCCAGGGTATGAATCAGTTGATGGAAGGGGGAAATCCTGGGTGTGAATCAGTTGATGGAAGGTGGAAATCCTGGGTGTGAATCAGTTGATGGAAGGTGGAAATCCTGGGTGTGAATCAGTTGATGGGAGGTGGAAATCCAGGGAATGAATCAGTTGATGGGAGGTGGAAATCCAGGGTGTGAATCAGTTGATGGAGGGTAGAAATCCTGGGTATGAACTGGTTGGTGTAAGGTGGAAATCCTGGGTGTGAATCAGTTGATGGAAGGTGGAAATCCCGGGTGTGAATTGGTTGATGGAAGGGGAGATCCAGCTTATTCTATGGATCACTGATGTCTGACCTTCTGTAAAAACCATTTCCCATTTGCCTCTCACAACTCCTACACATAAGCCGTGAGCATGATCGTGACCTCCTTATGGCATGCCTGCCAGGATCTCAAAGCCAAACATCTCATCACCGATGGGCAGCTTTGCACCCCTGCTCTTGTATGCATCTACTTTATTTGAACACCCTAATTTGGTCTCATTTGCATGATCCAGTATTGCATGACCCCTGATTTGTAATTCTCCCCCTTTCTGATTTAGTGAAGAGGAACCCAGTCTAGTTGTTTTTGATGAAACAGGCATTCTCTAGTGTTCATGTCTCAAGCACTGGTGTGAACCCATTGTTCAAATAAATATGCCATAGACCTAGATGGGTAGTTTTTGGTATTTTTCTTGAGAAGTTTTACTGGCGATACCTCATAAAAGAAGAAAATTGAAGCAGAGAATTGAGGCAGCGTCTCATAGGAGATGATTAACCTGTTTTGTTTGTCTGAGTGAACACCTGTGAAGCCACTAAAATGTCAATCAGCTCCAATTCAGTAGGTGAATGACTTGTCTGGGGGACCATCTTAGCCACATTAGGAGTCATTCAACCACCATGTCATGTTATTTTTCTATTGCACTAAATGGTGAAGTCTACAAAGATGAACATTTTCACTCATCTACAACATGCAGGAGATTTCACAAAGCCAGGAGATTGAAATATTATATACTTCATTATAATGACATGACTTGTGCTCCACATAAGAAGAGTTAAGAGTCTAGACTAGGTGGCTAGCAGTCTGCAACAAGGTGCGGGGTGGGTGGAGTTAAGTTTATATAACAATCTCTCCCCCCCCCATTTTCTTATTCATTTATTGACTGGAAATGTGAGGCAAGGGTTTTCTCAATTTTTCTATTCTCCAGTAGTCTCAGGACATGCAAATAGGCATCTACAGAACTAATTTAATCCTGGATTGTCACTCTTGTAGGCTAATGAACTCAGATGCTTGTGGCATTCACCAGCTCAACCTCTGCAGTGAAATAAAAAGGATTTCAATTCTGAGGATTTGTTGAGTTTCTCATTCAGTCCACTGTTTTTGATCTGTACTACAAGAGGATTCTAGACCTATGTCACCAAAACTCCAGATTTATTACGTGATCTGGTGTGGTGGCACAGATCTCATCTGCTTGCTGTTTTGCCCATTTCTAGGGTTTGAGTTAATCAGTTAAAATTCTGCACACCTCACACTATTACTACTGTGACCTCTAACCACTTGTGCCTCACATCTGTGTCACCCTGCCGCTGCATGCCACCTAGTCCTCTTTAGAGGACCCCCAGAGAGAGCAATGTAACCTTTCCACTGCCTAAGCTCCACATCCTTTAACATAACGATTCCACTTTAGTTTGTTTCAGGGTCTCTGAATCCTTTGTCTCATCATTTGAATTAGCTCTACTTTCAGGAATTTGAAACATAAATATACTCTTTTGCCCTCATTGAGATAGGGTCTCACTGTGTATTCCTGACTGTTCTGGAACTTGCTATGTGTTCCAGGCTGGCATTGAACTCACAGAGATCCACCTGCCTCTGCCTGGGATCAAAGGTGTGTACCACCACACCTGACTCTCTTTTTTAATTTTTGAAAAATATTTATTGATTTACTTAATGTACGTTGAGGTTTTGCCTGCATATATGTCTGTATGTCATATTCCCTGGAACTGGAGTTACAAACAGTTGTGAACTGCTATGTGGGTGTTGAGAATTCAACCCGGGTCCTTTGGAAGAGCAGCCAGTGCTCTTAACCACTGAGTCATCTCTCCAGCCCTATTTTTTAATTTTTAAATCACAGTCCATTCAGAATTTAACTCCTTGTCTTCTCCCACAAGTTGTTTCTCCACCATCCTTCTGCTTTTCAGCACAAGAACTCCATCTTTCTGTTTGCTTGGATCTAAAACCTTGGAGTCACCACTGACTCTTGCTTACCTCCCACATCCAATCTGTCTTGAAATCTCATTGGTTCCATTCTTGAAATACAACCAGAACCCAGCTACTTCTCACCACCTCTACTGCCACCAACTGATGGAAGTCTTCCTTGCACTTACTAGCCTCCTAACTGCTCTCCCTGTTTCTTTCCGGGAACTTCCTTCTGTAAGGGGACTACAAGCCCCTGCAGCTGAGAGCCAATGTGTTAGCAATCACTGAAGTCAGAGGGGATCACGAGCTGGCTTAGCGTCCATGTGCTAGACAAGGAGGGCACATGATGGGTAATAGAAGTGGACTTCCACGGAATGGCTGAGACTTCCCTGGTGTTACTGCTCACGAAAAGACCAGCATTATTTTGGGATTCCGAGTGCTGAGGTTTTTGCAGTATGGGTTTTGGCCACGCTAAGTCCTCAGTGACAAGCCTTTTGTGTTGTGTGGGTGAGCCTCTTCTGGGCTTCCCTCCCAGCACGGTGATGAGAGAAGCCTGAAAATAAATAAGAGATCCTAGCAGGATGTTTGTGAAGCTCCGTGCTCTCCCACCCTCAGTTTCTAGGATACCGCACCATCTGTGGGAGCATTCGTCCACATGTGAATGTGCACACACATGTTCGTTTGTCTCCAATGAGGTCAGGCTCCTCCAAAAGTTCCTTTCCATTGGCCAAACTCTTCCTGGAGAATTCTCTTAGAAAATGCTTTTGTCTAACACATCTCCCAGGTCAGGTGGCCAGGAGGGCCCCGAGGGCCCAGCGATGTGACAGCAGATCTCATCTTTATGACCACACAGGTTCCCAACTCTCCGCTGATGTTAGTGACAGAAGTGAGCTGCACACATTGCTCTCCCAGATTTCGGGAAACCTGCTGATCTTGGACCACCTTGCTGCTGTCGGCTGGGTGTGGAAGCTTGTCTTCTTTTTTATCTAGGTGGGCCTGCCCTTCCTATGCTTGCTTGCTTTTCAAAGCAAGCTCAGGGCTTGTACAGCTTCATTTTAACCTGGAGAGGATAAATTTTCCACTCACCAACCTGTCATTTTGGACCTGCAGCTACTGATGCCGTAAAGGACCCGGAAGCCCAAGGGCTATAGATTAGTCACATGGTTAGCATGATGAGGTCCTTTCAGCTCTTCCCTGTAGCCGTAGCATCTTCCCCCTGCTGCTGGTTTATCGGCAAGCCAGTCACGTGCATTTCTGCCTCACTTCCTTAGCAGTAAGATCAGACTGACCTCGTTTCCAGAGATGTGAATTTTACAGCCTGATCAACTGATCATCCAAATAAAAGCTTTGCTTATTAACTTTGAAAGAAAACTTGCTGAATATCCTGGCCCCAGGTTCTCCTTTAGCTGACGAACTCAGTGTCCTTTGCTTTGCTTATGCTTTCACTAATAGTCAATCTGTGTCAATTAATTCCTGAATATGAACCTATCACTGTATTAAGAAAATGGAGATGGCAAAGCAAATTAGAATCTCTGCCCTCAGCTCTCGAGGCTACTTCTTTGAGTTTCTGTCTTTTTCACTACAAGATACGTTCCTTATTTCTCTCTCTCTCTCTCTCTCTCTCTCTCTCTCTCTCTCTCTCTCTCTCTCTCTGTCTCTCTCTCTAGACAGGGCTTCTCTGTGTAGAGCTGGCTGCTGGTCCCAAACTCACAGAGATCCACCTGCCTCTGCCTCCCGAGTGCTGGGATTAAAGGTGTGTGCCACCACCGCCCAGCATCTTATTTCTCTTTAAAAAATACAATAAAAATTTCATTTAACACTAACAGTTCTTTCCTCAGTACCCAGGGTTATTAAACACACACATGTGAGAACATATAGATTAAAAATCCAAATTACATTTATTTATGTGTGTGTTGGCACCTGTATACCACGGCATGCACATATAATTCAGAGGGCAGCTCACAGTAGTTGGTTTTCTCCTTCAGTTGTGTGGGTCTTGGGGACCAAACTCAGAGAGTCTAGCTTGGTGGCACGTGCCTTTACCTGCTGAGCCATCTGCACAGCCCACAAAGTAGATATAGGCTGTATACATTTTATTTATTTATTTATTTATTTTGGTTTTTTGAGACAGGGTTTCTCTGTGGCTTCGGAGGCTGTCCTGGAATTCGCTCTGTAGACCAGGCTGGCCTCGAACTCACAGAGATCCGCCTGCCTCTGCCTCCCAAGTGCTGGGATTAAAGGCGAGCGTCACCACCGCCTGGCGGCTGTATACATTTAATATATGAAAATGCACATAGATTTACAGCACACATATTTCAGAATTCATAGTTCTTCTGGGCTACCAACATAACCGAGTACCAATTCAAAATTGCATCCTTGCATCCATTTTAAAAGCTGAAATAT